CCCGGGAGGATGAGTCATCTCGACAAGCCGATGAAGAGAGTATGTTGGGCTGCAAGCAAATGCCGCAGGGGAAAATGTGCCCCACAAAATGCATTGCGGGGGGTGGGGGGGAGTGCCTGACACAACCCGAGACAGAGCCACTCACAAGCCTATCTTGAACAGTAAACTAAAAATAAAACAAAACAAAGAACCACACCAGGGTGACAGCAATTATACCTAGGTGCCCCTGCTCCCTACCTCTCAACACTCTCCATGGGAAATGAAGTTTCACAAAATTGTTAAGTCTTATTTTTCCAAATCATGTTTCCCCCTGCCAATAGATATTCAGCCCTATCATCTGGTTTGCAAAATTACTAATTTTAATTAGGAACTCTAGAATTTTTTTTTTTTTTTTTTTTTTTTTTGAGACGGAGTTCTGCTCTGTAGCCCAGGCTGGAGTGCAGTGGTGAAATCTCGGCTCACTGCAACCTCCTCTGCCTCCCGGGGTTCAAGCAATTCTCCTGCCTCAGCCTCTCGAGTAGCTGGCATACAGGTGCATGCCACTATGCCCAGCTAATTTTTGTATTTTTTGTAGAAACAGGGTCTCACCATGTTGGACAGGCTGGTCTCGAACTCCTGACCTCAAGTGAACCACCTGCCTCGGCCTCCCAAAGTACTGGGATTACAGGCGTGAGCCACCAGGCCCAGTCGGAATTCAGGAATTGAAAAAAATTATGCTACCAAAAATACTTTCAAACACTTAACGTTGTTTAAAGTAGAAGATGGCACAGGGAAACCTACGAAATACATAACATTTTCTCTAAGGCAAAAGACCGAGTGTGACAATCTACCTCCTGGATCTGGCTAACCATTACCAGGAAGCAAGGTCTGATAAAGGTGGGGTAATTCAGGACTCTGGGTGCTTTGATCCCCAACACGCTACCCACACTAGCAGTGAATGGGGTTCCAGGGAGGCAGATGGGCTGCCCCATTTCACCTTTTAAGCCCCTTCCAATTCTGTTTTTCTTTTTCTTTTCTTTTCTTTTTTTTTTAAGACAAGGTCTTGCTGCAATGTCACCCAGGCTGGAGTACAGTAGCATCACGCTACTCGGCTCACTGCAGCCTCAACTTTCCGGGCTCAAGCAATCCTCCCACCTCAGCCTCCTGAGTAGCTGGGATTACAGGTGTATGCCACCATGCCCGGCTAAGTTTTGTCTTTTTGACAGAGACGGGGTTTTGCCATGTTGCCCAGGCAGGTCTTGAACTCCTGAGCTCAAGTGATCCACCCGCCTCAGCCGCCCAAAGTGCTGGGATTACAGGCATGAACCACTGTACCTGGCCTCTGTGTTTTTCATAAGGACTAAATTCTTCAGACTATTGCTGAAGGGGTGGGTGGAACGGGTCTATTTTCCCTGCAACATCATCTTGGACATTCACCCCAACCTACTCCGCACTTGGAAAAAACTTTGGGAGAGACGCACTTTATACTTCCCAGGTCACCTCAGGTTGGCCATACTCCTAAGGGCAGCCTGAAATCTGAACTAATTTAATAGAACATTTCTCACAGCTTTAACTTTACAAATATTTCACATTGTGTGAGTGTGTTTTCTTTTTAAGAAAGATATTTAAGGAAGACACCAAAGAAAACATGGTTTGATCTGCAAAGAAATTATACTATATTTCAGGGTCAAACAGAGGTACCACAGAACTATAGTGACCTGGTTTCCAAACAATAAATCCAGATATACAGGCTATCCAAAGATCCGTGTTACTTCCAGGTGTGAGGGGCAGTCTGGGGTGGTCATAGTTGCATACTACAATGTTGATGGGTTAAGGAGACAGTAAAACAGAACATTCAGAACTGGGAGTGCCTAGTGAACAGGAGTTCTGTCAGCCTTAGGTTACTTTGGGTAGAAAGGGATTATAGAATTGCTCTAAGCCTGGAGTTGGCAAACTTTTTCAGGAAAAGGAAGAGAATAAATGTTTGTCTTTATGGGCCATACAGTCTCTGTCCCAATTATTATTATTTATTGTTGTTGTTTTTGAGACGGAGTTTCTCTCTTGTCACCCAGGGTAGAGTGCAATGGTGTGATCTTGGTTCACTGCAACCTTCACCTCCTGGGTTCAAGCAATTCTCCTGCCTCAGCCTCCTAAGTAGCTGGGATTACAGGCGCGTACCACCACGCCCGGCTAACTTTTTATATTTTTAGTAGAGATGGGGTTTCGCCCTGTTGGCCAGCCTGGTCTTGAACTCCTGACCTCAGATGATCTGCCTGCCTTGGCCTCCCAAAGTGCTGGGATTACAGGCGTGAGCCACCAGGTCTGACCTCTGTCTCAATTATTAACTCTGCCACTGTAGCACTAAAGCAGCTATAGGTAACACGGAAACAAATGGGTATTGCTCTATGCTGATAAAACTTTATTTATGGACACTAAAATTTGTATTTATATAATTTTCATGTGTCACAAAATATACTTTTTCTTTTGATTTTTCCCAACCACTGAAGAATGTAAAAAGCATTCTCAGCTACAGCTATACAGAAACAGGAGAGGGGAGGGAAGACGGGGGGGCAGATTTGGGCTCCAGCTTCCTGCTCTAAACAATTCTCACGGCAGAAAAGACCTTTGTCACTCAGCTGCTCTGAAGAACTTAGCAGAATTGGCCAGGGTGGGGCTGGTCAGGGAGTGGAGTCTGTGCATTGTGAATTTCTCAGTCAAATAATGTGTATCCATATCAAATGTAAGTTATCAATGGCCCAATGCCCATCTACCCACTAGAGGCCATGACTGAATATGCTCGGGTTCTTTCTACATGGAAAATTTACAGTCACCTGGCTTCTGTAAACTTGGGAATACTTACACTAGGATCCTATTAACTAAACCAGAGTAAAAGCATAAATTGGCCATTTCTAACTTAGCTCACCCTGCTGTGAAAAAGATTTCAGCCCAAACCTCATTTTTCCAAATCACTTCTGCAGCAAGTGGTATATACCCTGCTGAGTAAAGGACTGCCTGCTTTGTTTACAATAAAGAAAACTGCTTGTTTTTTCAAATTCACACTTTTATTTGAACGATCTTTGAGTTTTTAAATGTTAATTTATGACCTTAAAATATGGATTTCTGCTGAGACCCTTCCTCAGTCGTGTATCACACACTTTGCAATGGCCTCTACCTTTAGGTATCTATTCGATTTAACTGGCCAAGTCGCAGTTTTCTTTCCCTTTGTTTGGCTTTTTTCTTTCCCAGAGCCATCACAACAGCTAACCAGTGAATCATCCTGCCCTTTGTCAATCTTACTTGATTATTGCCATGGCCCTAAAAAGTGACCTGACCACTCTGTGGCCTTATTATCTGATAAAACAGGTATCTTACTATCTGTGTTGAGCCTGCTGCTAACCAATGTGTTACCTGGAAACTTAATCATAGAACTTTGAAGTAGAAGGAACCTTGGAGATCATCTAAGACCAACCTCCTCGATACTCAGATGAGAAAGTAAAAGAATGAGAAGTTGTGACTTGCTCAAGGTCACACTGGTGAAGCTGGACAAAAATCCAAAGTGCCTGACTTAATGACCCCAAATTGGTATTCTCCTCTTTAGAGTCAAGTGTGAAGCTGGTTCATGGGAAAAAATGTTTTAGCCCCATACGTAAATGCCAATGAAATACACTTCCATCTACAGAGTTTCTGCTGGTCTTGTGAAATAAAAAAAAAGAAAAAACTCTTGATGACCTTTCAATTAATATCTGGGGTGAAAATACAATTAAAGTATCCTTAAAGAATAAAAATAGCATCGGCAAATTTGCAACTTCTACACTGCACAGCCAATAAGCAACTTCTGCAGTGACATTTCTCTGTCTCTTTTAAACTTCCATTTAAAATTCAGAATATCTGTAGTGCCAGATCAGTCCCACTGCTTAACATCTAAGTCATTTGGCCTGTAATTATATGATTCCTTACAGGGAGGCCTTAGTGTTAATATCCCCTGTTATACTAGGATACTCACAAAACAAAATTTGATTTTTTTATCCTTTTTGGCAAAGAGTTGGAAAAAGTGAAGCACTAATGAACTGTATTTCAGCAATTCTAAGATGCACTCCTCACAACTACCACACATATATTTGAAGACCTCTGGTACCAATAATGTGTTACAGTTTAATTGGGAGCCTTTTATTTTTCTTTTTTAGTAATACTAAAAATAATGGAGCATTTTATCTTCAAGAGCATCTTAGATTCAATGAAATACAGTAGTTAAAAAATGGGTTATTGACTCTAGGAAGAGTTTTGGATATAGGAAATTTATCATACACGTGTAGGGCTGTCGTCCTTTTCTCTAACTCTTTGTTAAATGTGTGACCTGCAGTTTGATCTACCAAACATTGGTTTAATAGCACTAAGATGTTTCATTATGAAAAAGAAGACTTTTTCAAAAGAGCACACAAAAGCAATGAACATGAATCATGATGGAAACAATGGGTCCACACACCTATTCATACCGTTAACATTTCACTACTAGGCGTGAATTCTCTCTCCGTTCTGTGTCACAGTCATTCATAATGAGGAAGTATTAGCATTTCAGTAGAACATTCAATCATGCCTGTGCTCAGAATGCATTTCTTCCACAAACACAGATGTTATACATTATAAATTCCTATTTATGAAGGGATGATTGAATATCTACCTGCCAGTTCATATAATGACATTTTTGTTACTGTTGTTTCCAATAGAATGTAAATTTTTTTCTGAGAATTACAAATTTGAGTTCAGGTAAAAATTTTTGAAATAACAAACACGGTATTTGTTATTTCCTTTTCTGATCCACACAGTTAGGCAAAAATAAAATCTTTTAATTTCTGAGACTATGTTTGGTTTTTTTTTAAACACTTAAATGTATTTTGTTGAATTCTTTTCTGAATTATCAAATTTCAAGTGAGTCTGCCTTCATCGCATTTGCAAAACAGTTTTTATCTTTAAAAGTATGATAGAGTAAGCTAGAAAGTAATAACTGGAAATGAGGCACTTACGTTTATAAAATACTGCTTTAAAAGTTATGTGGGGCAGAAGTTCATAGATCTTTTCTAAAACAGTCGCTTCACCCACTAAAGAGGCATTTACATTCCAGACTTGGACGACGTCTTCTCGGTCCCGAACACTGACACTAACTCCTATTACTTCATCATCTGAGGGGAAGACAGGAAAAAAAAAAAAAATGAGTGATACTTTCAAGTCAGTCTGACTGTTTCTAAGAACTTAGTCTTTTTATCTGAAAATTAAGGATAAGATGGAAAAAAGGTGGCACAAGACAACTTGTAAGAAATAATTGTTTCTACGGGGAATCACTGGAGGAAAGCAAGTCAGTGCACAAAAGGTGTAGCAGTCACATCACATTTATCCAGGGACTCAGATAAAGTGTTCCAGCCGAATGCATTTTCCAGATAAGTAATTTACCCTTTTTACTTTAGGAAAGCTTTGTGACTATTTCTTACTCTGTTTTGATGAGACTTTTTCTAAAATGGGTTGCATAATTCCCTGCCCTCTGAAAGCCAAGTGAACTGAAATGAACTTTTCCTTGATGCCTTGCTGTCTTTGTTAAGGAGAGTAAGAATTTCTCCTGACTTCCTGCCAAGCTTTCAGGCACCTTGGAGTGGTCAGCGCTATCTGCCCCAACACTAACTGGACCCAGATTGTGCATTCTCTGCTGCTCATCTGCTTTCTGCGGTTTGCTTGTCTGCTTCTTTCCTACGAATTCTTCCTCCTTCCTGATGCCTCCCTCTAGAAATCCCTTTTCTGGTTTTGGGCATTATATACTGTGGGCTAGTGAGCCAATGACCATCTGTTAGCCCTGTGTATAGAGTGAGAGTAAATCTTCTGAGTACAGCTCTGCTATTACAGGATTGTCCTTCAATGAATGAACGTTAAGGCATTTATCTACATTGATTAAGGTGGACTTTTTCAAAAAAACAAAATTCCAGATTAGGGCTGTCTTGTACACAGTTGAGCACAGCGGACGGATAGTAGGGTGTTATACTGTTTTATCCTCCCTTGCAGCCACTTTGTTTACACAAATTTGCAGCAAAATGAAAAGAATACAAACTTTTGATTCTTGGTTTTCCTTGTTCATGACACAGTAATGTAATACGGTCAGCTCTCTGCACTTTCATAAACAGCATCAATATGTAATAGGTGAGAGATAAGCATTATCAATATAAGAAAACTTTGCTTTAGTTAGTATGCTTTACCTAATTTGCTGGCCTCTGTAAATCTAAATATTCATGCCATCAGTTTTTCCAATTGTCTTCTGGAAGTTAAAACGTTTTAGTATTAGGATATAATTTAAATAAAAACATATCCAATTTACTAAAAGAAATAATTGGCAGTAAAGTAATTCCTTTCTTTTCTCCAATCTTCCCTTCTCTTTCTTCCCCTCTTCCTTCTTTTCTTTTTTAAAATGAATTTGATCCTGGCTAAATGTGTATGACTTGACACTAAATGAGTCCATTTATATAAATACTCAAAACCAGCGAAAATTGGCCTATGATGTTAGAAGTTAGACTGCAGGTTACCTTTGAAGGAAGGAAAGACAGCAGAGAGGGATCCTGGCGGGCTGGTAATATCCTGCTTATATATCTGGATGCTAGTTACAGTTATATGCTTACTTTGTGAATATTTATCAAACTGTACACATACGACGTGTGCACTCTTCTGTATATATGCCACATTTAAACAAAAGAGTCAAAAAACATAGTACCTTATCATGGCCATTCACAGAAACTTATTATTCCATCAAGAAAATATTCTTGGATACAGATTCTTGACTTTTTAATTTACACTTTAAAAAGTCTTTAAAAATAGAGCTCAATGTTATATTTTATATGAAAATAAAAATCATCAACTACAAAGGGGAGCTTTGCAGTTTACCAGTTTCAAGAGTGGCCATGAAGTCACAAGGTCACCCTTTTGAGGAAATGTTCATGTTTCCTGTCTTTTGGTGTTGCCAATTTCTACCCTATTGGTCAAAGCGTGACGTAATGGACGGATGCCGAACTGTCAATATTTCAGTTTGGTTTTGCTCTTGGTAACCAGGCATAGTTACTAGCACAGCACTTTCACAAATGGTTTGGTAAAAAAAGGCTGCAACTCTTATCCAAAGGCATATCCATCAGCAAACATGTAATATTCATAAGTAGAATCAACCAGCAAAACCTTGATTATTTTAGGGTACTGGCAGCATAAGACATTAGAGCTGGGAGGAGCCACTGCTTAAAGATGAGGGGAGTGAGGCCCAGAGAGATTAGCTGACTTGCTAAAAGTGGCATAGCTGGTTAATGGAAGAGCTAATGGTTAATAGCTAATGGTGCTCTCATGTCTCAAGTCAACCACAAAACAATTGGTCTTCTTTATTCAATTCTGGCTATTACTACTTAGACTATTTTTCCCTGGTTCTGGAAACAGGAATAATTCATGCAGAAAACTTCCTCTCCCAGGGATTTATGTGTTTATAATTATACACAGGATACATTTTTGGCTGTATATTATCAAGTTGCTAAATACTCCCTATTAAAACAGAAGGAATCTGTACTTACAGACAATTTTATCTTAACCGGGGTCTCTGTTTTTTCTTTTTTTGAAAGAGGGTCTCACTCTGTTACCCAGGCTGCAGTGCAGTAGTGATCACAGCTCATTGCAGCCTCTACCTCCTGGGCTCAAGTGATCCTCCCACTGCAGCCTCCAAAGATGCTGGGGCTATGGGTGTATGCCACTATGCCCAGCTAATTTTTGCATTTTTTGTAGAAAGGGTCTCTCTATGTTACATAGGGTGGTTTCGAACTCCTGGCCTCGAGTGATCCTTCCATCTTGGCCTCCCAAAGCGCTGGGATTACAGTCATGGGCCACCATGCCCAGCGCAGGTTTTGTCTTACGTGAATAAAAAGTGGTGTAAGAAGTAAGCAAAACAAAAGTGGAATGATAGGAACTGCTCATGAGATGAATCCGAAACACGCCCCAGGACTGGCAAGGCCTACAGGGCTCTCAAACACGGCCCCATCTAAGACATCGGAGGGACAACTCATCATTGTCATTAGCTAAAAAGAAAATCTTAACTGAAAGCTGGGTAGGAAAAATAGTATTCTAAATGTTACTTCAGGAGCATTCAGAAGGAACTACTCCCAAAAGAAAACAAAACTTTAAACAAGCAATTAAATTCTGCTTTCTGAGTGGCTTCATGATAAACACAAAGCAAAACAAAAGCTTTTTGTTTTGCTCTCAGAAATACCCTGAGTATTTGAAAATGGTCTCCAAAGAAAAGCCCTGAAGAACTTCTGTCTTATCCTCCACCGTGAGATCCCGGGACATAACAGTGAGCATGTCCCCACCTACTACTCTAGTCCTCTTTGAGCAGGGGACAGAGAGAACAAGAGGAAGGGGTTAGGGGTTGAGAGGGACAGAGAGGATTGTGCCTGCCCATCTACAAACTTCACTAGACACCGAAAGCACTTTCCCCTTCTGGAAAAACTGGAAGAGATAAAGGGAACCTACTACCAACTGTGTTAAGGGCCCAGTTAATGTCAGATTTTTCTTTTCTGCCTATTTATTTTGGACAGATGATTACAGACACTATTAAGTTAAGCTAAGAGGGAAACACATACATGAATATATACATACATATGTAAATATAATATGCACATACGTAAATACACGTATGGACATAGACACACATATCTAACACTAAACACCAAAATCACATGAAAAAAAACTGAGTAACTTTGTAGTTCCAAAATAAACAACTTCAAAACATGTAAAAAGTCAAACACGTGATAACAAACTGCTGCAAGAAACAAGCACAAGCCAGGAGCACAAGAGGCAGGGCCGGCCAGAGCCGTGGGCTGCTTTACCTGCTGCAGCACAGTCTGTGAACTGTTCCCCGATGGTTGCTAACAGCAACTCTTTCCAAACTGTGGACTGATATGGGAAAATAATAAAAAACAAAACAAAATACACATATTTTTAGAACATTATCCTCAGGAGCTAAACAAATTATGTTTTCTTCAACTTCACATGTACTTTCTGTGCCCATATTTGGAGTCCACAGACACCTCCAAAGCCTAGGTGCAAACATTTATCACCGTGGCATATTTTTCAGTGGTTTACAAATAACTTTACACAGATACAAGTGAGCCAAAGTCTAGTAAAAGCTAATCTCTAGTGAAACCCCTGGTGAAATTCAGAAGAACTTCTAGGCAAAACGCATTCAAACGACTAAAAAATTTCCAATTTCTTTACCTCTCACTGATTCAAAACACAGAAGCTAATTATATGTGGATGCTATTAGTAAAATCTTTCTCTTCAAAATCCTTTCTCTGTTTTTCTTACTACTTATAAGGTACTTCAAAGGTTACACAAGTAAAGAACACTTAAGGACATTTCTTGTTTATTTAATACTAGAGTCTTGGGAAATTCCATTCACTTGAGGCAGACTGTTTATGGCAGGCGATAGAACTTTATGTAAGAATGTATGTAATTTCCCTGGAAGATTCAGTGCCTGCTGTGGTCTGCCTCCTACCAATGAGAAACACTGGAGTTTCTTTCTCCTCATAATCTACTAGTGGCATCCAATAGACAGCCAGATTATTTCCACTCACATTACTTCCTTTGAAAAGTTCTTGGTCCTATTTATCCTCCTTCCTGTGATTCACAGGCTCCAAATTGCCCCCAAACTAGGTTTGAATCCTGAGAGGCTGCTTGCTATCTGCAAACCAGGTGGGTTAACAACCTCTCTGATCATCAGTTTCTTTAGGTGAACAAGGAAATAATAATAGGTCTGACCTTCCAGGGCTGTTGTGGGTATGAAATTAGTCAACAAATGTGCTCAGAGGGCTTAGTACAATGACTGCAATAAAAGGGCTTAACATATAAGATCCATGCCATAAACAGCTGTGTGTTTGCTATATTCCAAGTGCTCAATGCATATTAACTATAATAATAGTGTTTATTGTTATGTCCTCACAAGCTTAAAGCAGTCTCGCTGAATCTTTAACCAAGGCCATGGCAGTTAGCCAGGGAACTGAGAAGTGACCTTTCACCCTTTTCTTTTGTCTTTCCTAGCCAGTCCCTTCTGGTCTATGAGTGTCCCACCTAGGAATCATTGCTTCCATTTTCTCTGTCCAGCTACAGTCCTTCAAGCTGTTAGTGATGAAGTTGAGAGCTGGGAGATGCCATTAGGGGAAGGGAGACTTCACCCTTCTGCTTTGAATTCAGACAAGGTTGGCCCACAAGACTCCCACTGGCTGATGACAAAAAGTAGGCTAAACTGCCTGGGATGAAGGCATTTGCATGGATATGAAAGAGTTATTATTTGTAACCCAACGCAGCCAAGTGAGCTAACAAGGAGAGGACAAAACTGCCTTTCAGCTGTTTTTCAAGGAATGTTGACATCATGATTACTTCTACTAGAGTTCAAAGTCTAGTGCGAGTAAATAACATGGAAAGGCAAAAAGTGTTCATAATGAAATTTTAAAAACACCTTATATTCCCTCATTCTCTTATATTCTCTGCTCCCCTGATAGTTTTCATTATGTACACCAAATAACAGGAAAACGCTGGAGCTTCACATCTTGACGAATAGTTTGCACCTTTGACAAATATATCTGGTCATATCTTTGGGTATGTGCTTATAGGAAAATGACTCCAGCTCAAGCATATGGGTCCCTGGAGACATTTCAGTTCTTTGAGCTTATCCACATGAAAGAAATCATGAAAAGGTGAAACTGGGTAGCATTTCCCCTTTGTCCATTTTCAAAGAAGTTTTTGGTTTCCCAGGGCTTAAGATAACCGATTTTGATGTTCACGTTCATTTCCAGTCAATATGATTAATTAGAGCTCGCTCTGGGAAATCTGGGTTTCTGAGACTTGATCACTGCAAACCAGCATCCCACTAGGTCGTCACATCATCTAGGTTCTCATCAGCCCCAGAGGGAGATGGAGCATAGTCTCTCATGAAACCCCAAAGGACGGTGAAATGCCAAGCCTCCCTATTCTCTGTGCCATGGACATTCTCAGAACTGCTTTTGTTCCCCCTGTAGAGGAGGGATGAGCCTTTGGAAAGAAAGATCCTACTTCCAACTTTGTAAAACCATATGCCACATGTTAGTCATGGCTGTCAAAGGAATGACTACCATAAAGACATTCACCCAGCTTTTCTGTGAAGTTCACAGGGATTTACTCCTGCAGACTGCATCATACAGTCACATATTACACCATGTCTATGGAGAAGCACAATTATACACTTTCAAGGTGACAGTGTAAGGCAGAAAATCAAGGTCAGAACAGAATTTCTCACCCCCACCCTGTTTGGGGACTGCCAGGTAAACAGGCTGTCTGCAAAGCACAACATGTTGATGACAGGCAGTCAACAACCCCAAGCCTTGTCGGTTCTAGAAGAGGATCAGAAGGAACCTACCGTGCTGTCCTTGGGGACTTTCATCTTCCATACGCCGCCCTTTGCATTACTCTCCTCTTCCCTGGGCCAAAGACCAACGTTTAAAGTTACACTCAGGACTAAGTGATTCTACATACATTTAGATTAAATATCTCTACATACATTTAGTTTAACAATAGACGACCTTAAAAACAAAATAGTTGGGCATTTTTCTTGTTTTTGTTTTTTATTTTTTATTATGGATACATAATAGTTGCACCTATTTATGGGGTATATCTGAATTTTTTTTTTTTTAAAGACTAGGTCTCACTCTGTCACCCAGGCTGGAGTGCAGTGGCATGATCATAGTTCACTGTAGCCTTGAACTCCTGGGCTCAAGCAATCCTCCTCACTCAGCCTCCCAAGCAACTGGGATTACAGGCATGTGCCATCACACCTGGCTAATTTAAAAAAATTTTTTTGTAGAAATGGGGTCTCCCTTTGCTGCTCAGACTCGTCTTGAACTCCTGGCCTCAAGCAATCCTCCCACCTTTGCCTCCCAAAGTGCTGGGATTACAGGCATGAGCCACCACATCTGGCCTACATGTGATATTTTGATACATGCATACAAGGTATAATGACTGAATCAGGGTATTTAGGATATCTATCCAACACCTCAAGTCTTTATCATTTCCTTGTGTTGGGAACATTCCAATTCCACTCTTAGTTATTTTGAAATACATAACAAATTATTGTTAACTATAGTTACCCTGTTGTGCTCCAAGACCTCATTTATTCTAACTGTATTTTTGTACCCATTAACGATCCTCTCTTTATCACCCCCGCAACTTCCCAGCCTCTGGTAACCATCATTCTACTCTCTTTCTCCATCAGTTCAGCTGTTTGTTTTGTTTTGTTTTGTTTTGTTTTGTTCTTTTAGCTCCAACATATGAATGAGAGCATGAGATATTTGTCTTTCCATGCCTGGTTTATCTCACTTAATATAATGTTCTCCAATTCCATCCATGTTGTTGCAAATGGCGGAATTTCATTTTTTTGATGGTTGAATACTGTTCCATGGTATACATGTACCATATTTTCTTTAGTCATTCATCTGTTGATGGACACTTGGGCTGATTCCATATCTTGGCTCTTGTGAATGGCACTGCAATAAACATGGAAGTGTAGATATCTCTTCGACATACTGATTTCCTTTCTTTGGGGTATATATCTGGCAGTGGGACTGCTGGATCATGTGACAATTCTACGTTTAGTCTTTTGAGGAACCTCCATACTGTTCTCCATAGTTGACTGTGCTAATCAACAGTGTACGAGGGCTCCCCTTTCTCCACACCCTCACCAGCATTGCTGTTTTTTGGATAAAAGCCATTTTAACAGGGGTAAGATTGGGCATTTTTCAATAAACTCTTCCTCAGTCCTTTTGTTGGAAACAGAAGCAGATGAATGCAAAAGGAAGGAGCTAGGGATGGAGAGGCAAGAAAGTGGCATTCAGTGGCTCCATGGGCAGGGAAGATGATAGGACTTGAGATCCTCATCCTCAAAGGGCTGGTGCAGACAGGCCTGCTTGACTCTGGGGATGGACAACGAATATAACCGCTTCATGCAAGGGAAGGCCCTGACACTTCAAAGTCATAGTCATGACATTGTCTCATGTGATTCTCCTATCAACCATGTATCAAGGCCTCATAGGTATCCCTGTGAAGGACACCTGCTGTGTGTCACTGTTTAGTATCTGCTCCCTTTCTGGTAAGAGCATCCCAGTTTCCCCCTAAAGAGCCACCTGCCCCCTACTCTTCTGTGAGATCCACTCAGGCAGGGTTGACTCCACGTCCTAGCTTCAAAGATGGGCTTCTGACTCAGGCTAGCCTATGACAGTACTGCCTCTTCCTAGTCTTTGTGATTGGCCAGAAATTGAAAGGGGATCCAAAGTGAGACAATGAGAGCCAGCCTTGAGATTTTATCTGGGCTGCTGAGTACTGACATTAGTAAACTTGCAGGGTGTAAGACCAGAGCATACGAAGGCCACTTTGCCACCTCAGATGGGAGAAAATAAAACCGAAAATTAAACCAATGTAGAATAAAGCAGAATAATTCTGGTGGGGACCATCAGATTCCTGATAACACTGGAGCCGGATCTGCCAGAAATTACCCCTACCAGTGAACTTCCCAGTCACAGGTTAAAAACATATTCAATTTTTTTTTTGCTCAAATTAGGTTTCTGGTGGCTGGGCCTGGCGGCTCATGCCTGTAATCACAGCACTTTGGAAGGCTGAGACACGCAGATCCCTTGAGCCCAAGAGTTCAAGACCAGCCTGGGCAACAAGGTGAAACCCCATCTCGACCCAAAATAAAAAATTAGTTGGGGGTGGTGGCATGCACCTGTAGTCTCAGCTACTTGGGAGGCTGAGGCGGGAGGTTCACCTGAGCCTGGGAGGTCAAGGCTGTGGTGAGCTGTGATGGTGCCACTGTGCTCCAGCCTGGGTGATAGAGTAAGACCCGGTCTCAAAAAAAAAAAAAGAAAAGAAAAGAAAAGAAAAAAAAAGAAACCAACCGAACAACAACAGTAACAAAAAACCCACACAAAAAAATTAGGTTTCTGTCATTTGCTACTACTCAAGATGAGACACATTTACATTTTATTAATGAGTAAATAATGCAGAAAGACTGAATGACAGGACATAAGGATTTATTACTAATTGGGACTCCAGCTTGGGCAAACTAACTTACTGTCCATCTTCATCACTACATCAAGCTATTAAAGAAGGAGGACCCTTAGCCCCAGACCCTGGGTCATGATTGGTATCATAGACTTTCTATGTTGTCCATGTGAGACACACATCTCAGGTGATATGATATTTTATGAGGTTCACAAACATTTCCCTCCCACCTTGACCTTAAATTACACGTTAGACACTTACCAAAGTGGTCGCCTCTCTCCTCTCATTAAATGATAACTGCATCTCAAAGGCAGGCTAGTCACAGGAGGGATATTATTGTATACACTCCAGAATATCTTTAAAAGAAAAACAAACACTTTGTTTAATATACCCAGTATCGATTTATTATGCTGCTAGATTATCAAATTAGTGCATTAAAGAAAAATTTTGATTCTCATTGTTTTATCCATTCAAAAGAGGTTTTTCTCAGTATCCCTTCTAATTCTCTGCTAGAAAATGTAATATAACATTAAAGAATGCTAGGTTTGGTGGCTCACACCTGTAATCCCAGCACTTTGGGAGGCCGAGGCAGGTGGATCACTTGAGCCCAGGAGTTCGAGACCAGCCTGGGCAATGTGGCGAGATCCCATCTCTACAAAAAATACAAAAAATTAGCTTGGCATGGTGGCACACGCCTGTAGTCCCAGCTACTCAGGAGGTTGAGGTGGGAGGATAGCTTGAGCCTGGGAAGTCAAGGCTGCAGGTGAGCTAAGATGGCACCACTGCATTCCAACTTGGGCAACAGGAGTGAGACTCTGCCTCCAAAAAACAAAAACAAAAACACAACAAGAAGCAGAAAAGATGTTCCTTGCTGATGCTGTGCCAAGATCTATGTTTCAAGAAGCTATGGTTATTAAGCAAACATTCCTATGCAACATGTCTACACATAAAACTGGAAAGCACTTTGCTAATGATTTTTCTGACAGCTAGGTAGTATCTACTAAAGTCTTTAGTACTGAATATATGTACTGAACATATTTGTAACTATCTTGTTATAACAGACCCTGTCTTCAACATGGTGAAACCCCATCTCTACTAAAAATACAAAAAATTAGCCAGGCGTGGTGGCAGATGCCTGTAATCCCAGCTACTCGGGAGGCTGAGGCAGGAGAATCACTTGAACTCGAGAGGCGGAGGTTGCAGTGAGCCGAGGTCACACTATTGTACTCCAGCCTGGCCAACACGGTGAGACTCCGTTTAAAAAAAAAAAAATAGACCCTGTCTTCTCTCTAAGTCTGTGATGCTATGGCTTGGGAGTTGAGGGATAAAGGAGATGGCAAAGAGAAACCACCTTAGACACTCTGTTTGCCCCTTATCTCTCCCCTGCTAAAGGAACAGGGAACAGCTCAGATGCTGAAGCAACAAGCTGCGCAAGATACACAGTGTTATGGACTGCATGTCTGTGTCTTCCCCAAATTCATATGCTGAAACTCTAACTACCAATAGGATGGTGTTAGCAGATGAAGCCTCTGGGAGGTAATCAGGTCATGAGGGTATAGCCACCATGACAGGCTTGGTGTCCCTGTGAGAAGATGAAGAGAGCCGGCCCTCCCTCTGCCGTGTGAAGACACAAGGAAAGGATGGCCATGCACAAACCAGGAAGAGGGCCCTCACCTTGGTGTGCCCATGCTCACACCCTAATTTCAGACTTCCAGACTCTAGAACTGTGAGAAAAAAGGGTTTGTTGTATAAATTTAAAAAACTGCCCAGTCTATGGTATTTGGTTATAGTAGCCTGAACTAAGACACAGGGCAACTGGTAAACAGAAATAGATTATACAAAAATAATAAAGTAATAGAAAAACAGGAAGTCTTGGCAAAGACTGGAGCTGTTCTCTGTGCCAGGCTTTGTTCTATGAACATTTACATGTTTATGCAATTTATCCTAATGACAGTCTTAGGAGGAGGTATGATTATTATCCTTTTTTTTTAAAGATAAGGACATCAGGCAGAGATGAACCTGCCCAAGAGTCACTGTTTGGTATGACCATTAGGATTAGGACAAGGATTGAGGCTATGAAGAAGAAAATGCTTCCCCATTTGTTTGGAGTAGGTCATAGAATTACTATGCTATGAATGCTATGCACCGAATTACTGTGCAAATAAGAAATATTGTTCTGTGTGGTGAGGTAAGCATAGGGTGATCATCTGGGTCTCCCAGTAGGTCTGAGGAAAGCAGCACAAGTAAAAGAGCAATTAGAAAAATCAATCCTAGGGCTCATGAATTGAGTCACATGGATGGAATGGAATTTTATCTATGTTGAATGATAATCCTGCTGGGTTGTTCAAGCCTGTTTTGCGTTAAAAAAATAATAACACTGAATTAACTGCAAAGGTGGCAATGATGAACTCTAAGATCAAACTGAAGACAAAAAACTACAGGATGATAGATGTATTAACTGAGAATCCACCTTGGCTCCCTCCTACTAAAACGGTGCTAGTGTAGGGAGGAGCTAAAAGCTACTGTAATAACAGTAGCTCCTCAAACACACATCTCTCTTTATGGAGGTACCTATCCCATAAATGCTTTGCTATTTGTACAAATAAGACTATTCCAGTATTTCAGACTGTCTGCGGTATGAGGGTGGGTAGGTAGGGCTGGAATCTGAATCCAGACAATTTGATTCCCAAACCTCTGTTCCTAACTACTCAGCTATTTTCTTTTAAGATATTACTATATGTTTTTGACACATCTTTCTCCAATCTTAGCAGCCAGGAATGAGGTCATGAAGCCACAGAAAGAGGGACACATGTTGAAGATGTTTTCCCGTCAGTAAGATGCCCATAATTCCCAAGAGGCTGGTGGTTGTCAACTCCAGCCTGAGAAGCCAGTTATGATGTGGCAATGTCCTCTGTAGAATTTATGCACAAAATAACATTAAGATGAAAACTCCTGCCTAAGGTAAAAACCAAGAGGACTTTGGTGCTGGCAAACTTCAAGTCTCCTCAAAGGCATCACAAACCAAAGTTCCTGCTGTCATGCCCCTGTCAAAAGTTGTCAAAGCTTGACTTTTTAACCTAGTACTTGAAGCGCATTGAAAAAATACAACAAAACACCTCTTCCATTTCAAAGATCAGAAAAACACTAAAGATCGTGCTAAGGATTGGAGCTTTAGAAGCTTCTCTTGAAAACAAAAACAGACAACTGATTCTGCTTGGCTTGGCAAATTTGACAGGAAGAGATTACAGCCCAAGAAGATCAGTGATAGACTTAACATATTCATTAAAGCACGTATTTGTACATTTGTGCTGAGCGTAAAATAGGAGCAAAATATCCGGTCACACCATTAAAAAAAAAAAAAAAAAAAAGCCCTTTTTAAAAAACATGTGTCATTGAACTGGTCTGTTTCCCTGTTGCAAACCTCATCCAATGTGTAGAATATTTGTGAAGTATGTCTGCTGGTGAAATACCTACAGGAAGGAATCTACCATTATTCAGCTGCTGAAAATCTCTTCCACCCTTGCAGAAGTGAAAGGTCTGCTACAGTGGAAGCCTGGTAATTCGAGATTATACTCTCTGTAACACATCTTGAAAATGGAAACACTTAAATTTGACTATACATAAAATCTTGCAAATAGATTTCAAAAGCCATTAGGCTTATAATTAATTTTGTTGGACTTCCAAATTGAAGATTGCAGTAAAAGTAAAACTAAGCACAATGTTTATTAATGATGGTTAAATGCTTTTTTTCCCCAAAAGCCTTGAGAATCACTCTAGGACTAGGAGAGGTATAAAAGTTGAACATCTTTCATTCAGTCAACATCTGTGAACATCAGTTGTGAACAGGGCACAGTGAAGAGTCCTTGGGGAACTGAGCTGAATGCAGGAGGTCAGCTTTTGACCACAGCAATCCACTCCTTGGGAGGTATGTTCTAGAACACCAATCTGGCACCTCTCCTTGAGAAACTGAGGCAAGGAAGACACCTGTCCAATGGAGTCTAATACCTGGATTTAAGATCTAGGTTCTCAGGATAACCTTCACAGGTCATGTAGCCCTTGAAACCCAAGTTGCCTCCTCTGTATAAGGATACAGCTACTTCATTGGAAAATGTAATGACGAAATACAAAGTGAAAGCACTTGCAAGGCCTAAGGAAGGAAGCAAAGTATGGTTAGACCCATTAATATGCTGACCACTTGATAAATCCCAATCTATTAGTACTGGATTGGAGCAACTACGTCCCACCTGACAGTCTTCTGCCAAATAGATAATCATTCATTACCAAGAAAACTGGCAAATTTCCTCCTCAATTTCCTACTGGAATGTTCTGAAGAAAAATAATGCACTTGGAAATTCTTCAGAAGAAAAAATGTCATGTGTTGACAGACAACAAAGTGATATGTCTGTTTTGTAAAACAAACCAGAAACAAAACCACCCAGCCAACACACCTCAAAAAAAAAAAAAAAAAAAAAAAAAAAAAAAAAAAATAAGAATTATTCCAGGTTCTGGCACGTGTAACACGAGAGTATTTTCAAAAAAATAAAACAAATATTTTTGCTCATTAGGTATTACTAGTTGCCTGGGGCTTCCCACCAACTGAATCAGTGGTATTTATG